GGGTTAGGGGTTTAGGGTGTAGGGGTTTAGGGTTTAGGGGTTTGGGGTTTGGGGTTTAGGGTTTAGGATTTAGGGTTTAGGGTCTGGGGCTTAGGGCTTAGAGTTTGGAGTTTCGGGTCAGGGCTTTTGCGTCTGGGACTTTGCAAGCATTTTTAAGGGTGTCATGAATGTTATTTTAGTGTTTTGTGTCAGGAAACTTGTGAAGAACAAGAGATTTGCATAGGGGTATTGCAAGTTAGCTAGGAAGGTTTTATGAAGCTCTTGTGTGGGCTTCCCTTGTGAGGGTTTACGACGCAGGGTTTCGGCTTTACGTTTGGCTCGAAAGCCTTGATGCAATCCGATGATGCCCTTGCACAGCTCCGAACCGAATCTAAGTCCCTGGCGAACCAACAAAACCCCGTATAAACGAGAGACACAAGCACAAAGCAATCCCAATCCGATACGACCCAATACGAGATGTTTTTAAAAAAAAACACATAACAGTTAGAACAACAACTATGCCCAATCTGCAGCCAGAAAGCCAGTAGCAGCGCATTCGGCCTCAACCCGAAGCTTTCCGAACTCTGTTTCTGCAGGGACTTTCGGGTTCGGCAAATTTCATTGGGGTTCATGGCTTGATAGGATGTCAGGAGGGCTCTGTTTGGGCCTCTGACAGACTCTGACATGTGCTGCGGTCGGCAATGTTGAAGAAAAGTCTCCGTTTCGGGCGTGGGGTGCACAGACGTAGGCCTGCTGACTCGCAACAAGGAACCTACAAGGGTTTCATAAGGATTCTATGAGGGTTTGGGCAGGTTCCTTTATGGTTGCTCTAGGCTTTTATATGCACTTAAAATGTACTTAAATGATCAAGGAGTTAGTCGGTGACAGAATAAGACCACGCTATGCCTCCTCATAGCCGATTGTAAACTCAGTGATGGCACCTTGCTTACATGATATACAGGTTGTAATACGAGCAACCCGGAAGTCACGCTGCAACGATGAGCCCATCAATCTTCACCTCCAACAGCCCCAGTAGACCGATTATAGATCTACTAAGACCCCCATATCATAGAACCCTTATAGAGCCTGTTAACGGAAGCCTTCAAAGGAACCCTTCATAGAACCCTTTGAAGGAACCCTACATGGGGGATTCCGAAAATAGGGGACCCTAATATAGTACCCTAAATAGTAGGATCCTTATTATAAGGACCCCAAAACAAGGTACCCCTTATTTTCGGAAACTCCCATATTGCATCTTTCCGAAAGGTCTCAGCTCTTTAGTCCCCAGCCGCGTATCGCTGCAGGGCCGCAAGATGCGATGCGAGCATCTGCGCAAGCGGAGGTTTGCGGTTTGTAGGGAGTTTTAGGGGGTAGGGCTTAGGGTTTGGGAGGGGCTTTGGGGTTTAAGTTTTCAGGTTCGGGGTTTGGGCTTTGTCAACGGTTTTCAAGGTTGAGGGTTTAGAGTTGGGGTTTGCAGGGTTTCGGAGTATTCAGGTGAGGGAGGCCGACGTTCAGGCTCGCGTTGGAGACCATGCTGCGGGGCTTGCGTTTAGGGTTCAGTGTAGACTCTCGAGCACAATCCCCTGTTTGAGAGATCATAGTGGCTCACAGCGGCGCGATCCCTACTTATACCTCACTGCTCGGGAGGAAGGCCATGAATCAGGGACCACCCTGTAGGATCTGCGGTAACCTTCATCAAGTAAGCAGCAAACCCCCCAAAACCCCCTAGCCCGATCAATCCCATAACCATTATCAAAGACCCGAACACACACTGCAGAACCGCATATACCCCACACAACATAACACCCTTCAAAAAAACAGTATAAAACCATGTGAAAGACCCTAAACTAGGAGCCCAAAAAGGACACAAGCATAAGTGTGTCGCGAAAATATCCCTGCATTATTGAGCTTCAACATCAGGGGGTTCATATGGGAGATCCTTATCCTAGTTTTGCTTATGTGCATTTTTGGAGCCCTATTTACACAGCCTTTGGGCCTCCCTGAGCCGCGAGGCCAGCGCCGTGGCGTCGGCACCAAGCTCGCTGGCGACCTCTCGACCGGGCCTGGAAAAACGGCTTGGAAACGGTCCGATGGTGATATATTTAAGATTAATGGCAATAATAATATTGCTAATAACAGTAATGATGGGTGTATACATACATAATTCTGTGTATATATATATATATGTAAACATATATGTATGTATTTACATATGCATATCTATGTATATATATATATATACATATGTATATACATATGTATATATATATATATACCGCTAGGCCCTTGACTGTGGATCAAGGGTATAGATAAGGCTTAGTTTAGGGTTCAAAGTATTTACGGCGTGTGTCTGGGTTTCGTTTTGGCGACACTGGTCATGTCGTTTAGGGCTTCGGGGGTCGGGGTTTTAGGGATTCTCGCGCATGCGCTTCGCTGGGCTTGTGCATGGGTCCCTGGTCATTAGCTAGGGGGTGCTGGAACGTGCGCTGCTCAAGCTGTCATCTGGGCTTTCATGTTGCTCTACTTCCTCAGTGTCCATGCAATGGGTTTCACGTCTTCCAGCCGAAGGTCCGGACTTGCATGCATGCCTCAGCTTCTGCGACTCGGCCGTCCAAGTACTACGGTGGTGCTTCTTTCATGGTCATGGGACTGCTTGTCGAGACTGCCTAGGTCGAACAAAGTGTTTGGTGCTGTGATCCCGCGGTTCCTGCGAGGCTCAATACTTACCATCGTTTGGGACGCGGAGGTCGAGTGGCTACGGGCACCGGGTACCAGAACTGAATCTCATCTCTTCCATGCCGCTACACTGTTATAATGACTTTACAGGGAGTCTACACGGGGTCAGTGCGGCTTGCAGTGTTGTCAACTTTCCTGTAGAAATCGCCGGTGCAGCAGCGTTACTTTGCGCACCACTGCTTGAAGCCCCTTGCCAACAGGTACTGAGCAGACCACAGGATAACGCAGGATAACGTCTGGCGCTGCAGGGACCAGCTGTGCTGACATCATGCCTTTCACATTTTCAAGGTCCTCAAAGCCTTCCAAACCTGCCGGCAGAGTGTGGTCACAGGTATGTTTGTCCTGAAGTCTTGAAGGGTTTGTCGTAATAGCCGCTGACGCTGAGGGCTCATTGCTGCAATGCGAGAGCGCCTCTCCTCAGGACTCAGCATTCGAAGCTTTGCACCACGGAAGATTGCAGACACAGAGGCTTCAGCGAATACTTTGTCTGGCGCGATTCCTCTCCCCTTCATCTCTGACAATATGGCCTGGATTTTGGCACCGCTCGCTCTCTCATGGGCCCTGACAAGACTCGTAAACGTTATCACAGACGGCTGCAGGTGCCTCTGCAGCATCTGTTCGTACATGTACATGGCAGCCGATGCGCTTGGTGGGTCAGCCGTGCCGCAGGCGTTTATGGCAGATGTGAAATATTCGGCTCTAGGTCGTGGACAATCATGAAGTCAAGACCCTCGGCTGCGCCCAATATGTCTCCCATGCTGGCCGCAGCATTGATGCGCGCACCAACCACCAAGTGAGTCGTCAGGTTGTTCTCAACAGCTTCTGACCAAAGTGCTGCTACTTCCGCTCGACGACCCAGTTTACCAAATATTTTCATGCCTCGATGAGAAGTGATTGGGTTCGGTGTAAACCCCGGCAAATTTCGCAACTTGTTATAGATGCAGGCGGCATCTTCATACCTTGCGCAATGGAAAGCAGCTTGCATCGCTGAATGGTGAACCGCTACGGCAGTTCCTGAATACTTGCCCCAAAGTCGTGAAACCTGCGCCCAGTCTCCGTTTCGCCCTGCCTGAGCTAGGAAAGTCGTCAGTTGCTTTTCGTTGGCAGTCAAGTTGTCCTGGAAGACCGTTCGGTCAACGCTTACCGAAATGCTTCGTCCAGTTCTCTCTCTCACAATGCTGAGTGGAGTTTGCTTGCCGCCAGACGCAGTGAAATTCAAGGATGGGAACGACCGAAGGCACACAGCCAAACATACTGCTGCTGTGGTCAGCTGGCGGATTGAAGCGCGACCCGACATGCAGTGCCACGGCAGCTCAAGAAACTACAACTGCTCTCATTCGAGGCTTGCGCGGGTGCCCCGTTCAGTGCAATCTTGAACCCTTCGCCCGGCAGCCCCAACCGAACACGGATACCCTACGTTGGACTTGAACTACTGTACCGTTGTTGGTAGTTCAGGGTAGCCCCAAACCCTGAATAGAGTCAGCCCCACCTCAGTCGCAGCTTCAGCGCGCGGAGCGAGGTTGCCTAGAAGACATTACGGCTCAGGAAAAAGTCTTCATGATCTAGAGTCTCGGGTATGGCGTTTGGGTTTAGAGTGCTTAATGATTTCGCTTGATTCAAGTTTCGGGGTTTGTTCTCCAAACCGTGTGTTGCGGATTATGGCGTTCTTACGTTGGGTGTAAAGAGAACTGCTTACTCCTTAAACCCCAAACCCTAGACCCTAAACCCTAAACCCTAAACCCTGGCGGTCTCCTAGTGGTTTCTTGGTGGTCTCCGAGTGCTCTCCTCACTGTCTCCTGGTTGTCTCCTCTTGTCCGTGGGGGGTCGTGGTGGTGGTACGGTTGATGGACAAAATCCTGCATGACCTTAAGGACCCTAAACTATGGGAATTATGGTATATTCCTTATAGTGGGTAATGCAGGATTTTGTCCATCAACCGTAGTCCCTGCCGTCCTGGTCGCCCTGAGCGCTGAGATGCTGTATGAATGTTTCGGGATCTAGGTTGGCATAGTGCTTCTTCATGAGGCTCGGGGTTTCGATGATGGGGTTTTGAGTGTGGGCTCCGGGTCTTGACAATTGGGTCTTGTGTGTAAGATTACGGTTCAAGATTCAAGGGTCTCCACTTGCAAAACCCGGACCCGAACCCGGTCAATTGAGACCCTCGCTTCTTCTAAGCATGGGCACGCTGATGAAAACACCAACCCGTTTCTCGATCCAAACTGAAATGTCTGCATCCTAAATAGGGGACCCATATATAGTACCCTAAATAGTAGGATCCTTATTATAAGGACCCCAAAGTAAGGTACCCCAACCCTAAAGAGCCTCCGAACTGGGCTGAACCATACAACCGAAGCTCGCCAAAGAGAACGCGATATCTGAGGTTCAAGGTCTAAGGTTGGTCGGAGGCTTTCCGACTTAGGGTTGAGGGTTGAGGCTTTAGGGTTTAGGGTTTAGGGTTTAGGGTTTAGGGTTTAGGGTTTAGGGTTTAGGGTTCAGGGTTGAGGGTTGAGGCTTGCTTTCTTGACGCCTGCTTCCGTCTGCCCTAAGTCCAACATTCAGAACATCTGCTTCAGATGAGACGTGTACTGCAGCGGCTAGAGTTCAGGCTTCCCAGGCATTGGTCTACAGTGCCGCTATGGATGCGCGAACAACACTTAAAACGAAAACCCCCTCAGTCATGAAGACAACAGGCAATGGGAGGCTCCGAGTATTGCTCAAGATCCGTGATCAGGTGTCGATTTCCGAAGGCACCTGCTTCAAAGCTGCTTATACAAGTGTAAGTCCGTAAACCTCTAGATCCGAATCAAATCCCGAAAAGCCATCCCAAAACTCCTAAAGCCCTTAAGACCCCCGTGAAGACCCCCTTAAGCCCCTGAAACGAAAACCCGACAGCCTCGGGCGTTCCAGAGATCACTCGCATTCGCTCCACATCGTAGACCTGGTCACAGCTCCCAAAGTTTAGTAGTAGCTAAAGGTCGTAAGAAGGCTCTACCATATAGGGACCTCAACAGCTTGAATGGGGGTTTCAGTGGCACACTGTAACTATGCTGTAGGAACCCAAGGGAATGGTGTTTGCCATGGCGTTCGGGGTCCAGGGTGTAGAGCGTACTGGCGTATCAGTCAGGTAGGTTCTCTCACATTGTCACAATGAAGAACAGTATAAGAGTGTTCCAGGTGTTACGTGGTGTTATCTGGTGCTTCGGGGTTTAGGGTTTCGGCCAGAGGGGCTCGCAGATATAGAGGGTTTACGGAATTGCAGTGGAAGGTCTAGTACTTAGGGCTGTCCTATGCAGCTCTGCTGAAGTTGCTAAAACACCCAAACCCTGCACCCAATTGCAAAATGTGTTGCTGCTGCTTTAAACAATTTAGGGTATACGTCTCAGGCAAGCTGGGGTTTGTGGGCTAGTTCAAGGTTTCAACACGGGCTGCTGGAGTAACATGAAAAATTTATATATTGCATATCGTCGAATAAAGCCTTTCAATTATTAGCCGTAAGCTGACGAACCGAATGGTGCGCGAGAGTAGATCGAAAATATCGCGGAATCTTAATCGAAAGCGCATTCAAGAGTGCGAGACCATTGATAATGCGTGCAGGCATATCTAAAAGGTAGAATCTGCTATTCCCGGGAGTAGTGCAAAAATCTTATTATCGACAATTTCTAGAAAAGTGTCATAAAATTCGCCCGACAGTTTCAACCTCTATATTATGGGCATACATATGTAAGAGACACGATGTTAAGATAAGCATTTCAAAAGGGCTGTGATAAAGAAACATATAAGATCGTTTCTATGGTGGCTCCAGTAATCTACAGTGGTCTGGGGGTCTAGGGTTTCCGGGGTGTTGTGCTTACCCCAGTCGTTGTTACGAACAAAGGCACTATACAAAGGGACATCACCCACAATTCCAAACCCTAAACAGGATTCTATAGTGTTTATAGGGGGGGGTTATGAGATAGGGTTTTACGGACCTCATACGGGCTCCGTAAGTGTTGCTACAAGCTTCGGGTGTTGGTGAACACCGTAAGTCCACAGAGCCCAACCTGTTTTGGACTTCTGGGTTATAGAAACTGGATGTCTCTACAGCTTGAGACTTCAACGTAGCTATGTATCTCTGTTTGTAGGGTACCCCCCATCAAACGGGCTCATAAAAGCAGCAACTGTTCAAGGCTCATGAAGAGCTTTGAAATCATTGCATCAGTTTAGGTATTGAGGCCTTGAGAATCCTACTAATGTAGACCCCTGATTAGCCCGCTTCATACGAGACGTACAGGAGTAGGGATCCCTTTGTCAGGGGACCCTTGACGCAGGTTGACTCAAGTATCAACTCGGCTATGTGTGGCGGCAATCCTCTGGGGCTCGCTTTGCGCGCTGGGCTGTGCAACTTCTTCTACTATAGAGTGCACGTCGTCCGGATGCCCGATCTTGCTGGGTCTCTGATGAGGGCTCTTCTTCGGTCGAGCACAAAGTTGCATTGTCGACTCTCTTGGCGTGCGGCATCCTGTGGAGTGCGAACATTCTCTGGTTCTGCGGTCTGAAACCCTGTATATACAACCAAGACCGTTTGAATCACTGAAACACTTCAACACTCCGAAGAAACCCTACAAAACCATTCTGAAACACGATACCGCCAGTATGAAACCGTGAACCTCAAAGAAAGATCCGCCTCCCGCTGCTGCGGGTCGCTAAGCACGGCGTATGCACGCGCCACCTCCTGCGGAAGGAAGCCAAAGAGCTCTGGGATGCTCTGGGTTTAGGGTTTTGGGTTTAAGGTTTGGGTTTAGGGATTAGGGTTTGGGTTTAGGGATTAAGGTTTGGGCGTTGGGGTTTCGGGCTTCACGGTTCGGTGAATTCGAGTGCTTGGGGTCTACATGCAGGAGTAACGTTTAGGATTTTGGGCTTCAGGGCTTCAGGATTAGGGTTCGGGGCACGCAGTTCAAGGCTCAAGGCTTCCCAGGCGCTTCGTTGTGGTCTTTATGAGGTTTCTTGAAAAAATTGGGCTTGAAGGATTTTCTTCAAAAGGCTCTAGAAAGTTCACGAAGACGTCAAGCGGCTCTACTCGGTTTTATCAAGGTTCCAAAGGGCCGTGCATGAGCTTTTGATTTGGCTTAGTTTTGCAGGGAGGGGTAACTTCCCGATACTTGCTCAGGGAAGATTGTGTTTGTGGTTTAAAGTAGGTTAAAGTATGAATCGGAGTCCCAGGTTTAGGGTTTTGGGTGCCGGGGGTTCTCGTTCTCAATCTCAAGGGTGCAGAATATCGGAAGAATTCGCAGACTCACTACACGTTCACGTACTATCACGTTCACATCTTGGTGCGACCCAGGTCCCCCCGCTTCGGAGAACTGTGTTCTTCTCGGTCTTTAGAGAAATCTTAAGACCGAAGGCTGGAGGAGTGTCCCTGGTCCGAAGGCAGAGAGTAAGTTGAGACATTCTCCAGCCAGCTTTCTCCTTTCCACTGATCCGGCTCCCGGACAGTCTCTCCCCGGCGTATTCGGCTGGAGCCTGAAAGCCTCTTTCCGAGAGGTCTTCGGGGAACCCGAAGCTACCAGAAAGCGGCCGATATCCTCCGAGCCCTTCGATCAAGGGAGTTCCGAACTTCATCTCTTCATAGCTTACGTGCCTCTGCTCCCAGGTTTCGAAGTCAAGCTGCATTTCGAGCATGAAGGCGCCTTTTATGGCTGGTGTCGATTGAAGCGAAGACTTCAACTGTTTTTCTTGGGCCTATGTTCGGAACAGTTATTCTTGGGCCAACATGGCTAGGGCTTTAGGGTTTCGGTCTTAGGGTCATAAAGAGAAGCCCTGTAAACTTAAGGAATTGTCGGTGACATTCCTTAAACTAAATCAGAGAATCGAAGCCCTACACACTGATGGAATATTCCTCAGATCAGGAGAAGACGCCCAATCTGATTTAAGGAATGCTCGTCTGGAGCCTAGACTTACATACTTCAAATCACCTTACAGCAGAAACCCGAGTTAGGGTTTCGGAGAGTCGGGATGTGTAGGGGTCCAAGTTTATTCCAAATTCTCACGGGGACACCCTAAATCTCAAGCCGAGAGTTTGGCCAAGTTAAGGTGCCGGACCATGGGAGTCACAAGTGCCACACCGGCGGCATCCATGGACTCGGGGAAAACAAACGTACCAATGGGTAATTCGCCTGATGAGGGTCCGTTGTTGAATTCCCAAAACAGTGCTTCACTCTTACTTACTTGCAATAGAGAACCCTGAAAAACACTCTGCTTCACAGATTGCCTGTACGGCCACTTTTTGTAAATAGATGGACACATTTGCGAAGACCTGACAACTCCGGGACGGACCTCGAAGAGCACGCGGTCGCCGTTGGGCTTGTCCTGCTAGCTGGTAGCAGGGTATAGGATTCCAGGATTTGGCGGGAGGGCATAATAAAGGCTTAAAGTTTAGGGGCGGCTTCACTTAGACCTTCAACCCCAATTTTGAAGCCCGAATCTCAGAGCAAGACACCTTGCGAACTATATAGGTCCGAACAGAATCCTTGAAACTAGCTCGGAACCGGAGCAAGGGACCCTTACAGACTAGTAGCTTTGAAAAGTGGCATTGCACGTCAACACTTCCAAGAAACCCAGAAGGACCTGGTTCTTGAATAAGAACACCTATAGGATCCTTGATATTTACGGTCCATCTTTGATCAGGCCCCATCATACCGGATATTGACTGTATTCAAACATCTGAATCAACCAGTTTGGTAGGCAGGTTGAAAGCACAGCTAGTAACGTCAACCCCCAGATGCCTTGCAAGTGAAAAAATCCCAGACTAGAGCCCGCTGTCCGGGTGGGTCGCTAGCGCCAACTTCCGATAGGCGCGGCGGATGCTTGCCTTGCCGGGAAGCCGTTTAGGGCCTTCGCTTTGAGGGTTTAGGGTTTAGGGTTGTTTAGGGTTCAGGGCTCAGGGTTTAGGGTTTAGGGTTTAGGGCTTCGGTTTTAGGATCTGGGCTTCGGGGGTTATGAGGTTTCGGGCTTTAGGGGTTTACGGGCGTACGGGTTTAGGCGTTTAGGGGTTAAGGGGCTTGCGTTCAGACTTGACGAAGGTTTGGGATTTCGAGTTTGGGGGAAGCAGGAGAAAGGGTTTAAGTTCTTAGTGTTTGAGGCTGTGGGGTGGGGTTTAACGGAGTGTTCCAGCTTAAGGTTTTAGACTCTGGGTTTTGTGGGTAGGCTGTGGGATCAAGCGACGGAGGAAGAAGGGCTAGAAGAAACACAACTGTTAATGCAACCACCTATAACCCCAATTCGTATATTCTTCTGATAGATAGCAACCCTTAAGCTTAAGGCTTTGGCTTTAACCCAAAACCCTTGAACCCTTAAACCCCTAAAACCCTGAACTGTGGGAAGCAGCCGGGCCGTACGACTGCAGCGACATCGAGATTTCCCTTGGGTCTTGACTTTAGGGTTTAGGGTTTAGGGCTGAATTTGTTTTCTCGTTTCACGTGGCAGCGGAGCGTCAAGCCATCAAATGTCCCTCAGCGGCCATCTCCAGGCCAAGGTGCGCGCTAGCGCTTGCCAACCCGACCAGCTGTGGCCTGGCTGCCAGACATTCCTCGGCAGCCTCGGCCATAATCGCTTCGGTGAGCCTTCAAGCGCGAGATCCGGCGCTGACCCTTTGGGTAGTTCTCTAAACTAGGGTCCCCTTTTAGGTCCCCAATATAGTACGGCACCCTTCTACAAGGACCCTAAAAAGGACCCGAATTTAGAGAACTACCCATGTCCTTTTGCTACCAATGCGCAAAGGACTGCACCTCCAGTCGGAGAGGGCTTGAATCCCGACGGCCCATGGTTCGAAAGCTCCGAACGGCTCAGGGCTTCGGGTTTTTCCGATTGTGCGGTGTAGTTTAGGGTTTCGGGCTTGAAGTTAAAGGTCTCGGGTTAAGGGAAAAGGGGCTTGGTTTTGAGTGCCTTTTACTATGCCAGTTCTGATCAACGCAATATTGACACGAACAGGAGAAGGAAGAATACAACGCCTAGCATCCACAAGTCTACTTCCCATGACAGCTGCGCCCATGCGTATCAACCTTCTTACTTGCTACTTTGCCACCCGGGCACAGGGTCCGCATCTGATGCTACGTCGAGCTTGTCGTAGTGATCCTGCGCGCCAAAGCACAAAGTCAGAGGTTTGGGTCTGAGGTCTTCGGGTTTACATAGGGGCCGCAATAGCTTTGGGTTTAGGGTTTAGGGGTTTGGGGCTTAGGGGTTCGAAACGAGGTTTGGGGTATAGTCTAGTACCGAATACGGGAAAGGACCTTCAGGAACAATATGGAAGAATATTGGTAATTCTTTAGGCTTCTACATCCAGTGATATTTGGTCGTGTCAGAAAACAAGAGACACCGGCGTGCAAGATAGGATGCGTGTTACACAGACTCCTGAATGCGAAAAGAGCCATAGACTGAATATCTGAAGGAACGGTCGGAAGAAAACAATCACAAGTAATCCCAGTCTATGTCCAAGCTTTTTGGTCCCTCAACCCCCAAACCCTAAACACGAAACCCTAAAGCCTAAAACCCCGCAAGAACTAAACCGGAGCAGGCCGCGGAGTCCTGAAATGGAGCCACTGGGGCCATGGGCACCTCTTCGATTGTGACCAGGCGTGACCTGCAGCTGGGATTCCCTTAAGGGTTAGTCAAAGGGTTCGTTATCAGATTCAGGGTTCCCTACTTAGGGTTTAGGGTTTAGGGTTTAGGGTTTAGGGTTTAGGGTTAACGGGTTCCACAAGGCTTCCTACAAGGGTTACTATACGGGTACTAAATTACTCCAACACGGATTTTAGGGTTTCGGAGTTCATGGATGGGGGTTTGGCATTTTGGACCAAGTCGTAACCCTCAAAATCCAAACCCTACATCCTTTGATCGTCAAACCGCAGATGAGGCTTCCTGAACCGCAAGGCCTAAACCCTCAACCCTAAATCCCAAACCCCTAACACTGAAAATCCCCCCACACCCAGCGCCGAAACCATGGTCGACGTGAGCCTGCAATCATTCACTTGGCCCAGCTTACAACCATAAAGTCCTAACATGCCTTAACGTCAAAGCCTAGACCCCAAACCCATCAACTTAAATGCCTAAACCTCCAAACCCTCAACCAGGATCCCTTTAGAACACCCCTTGAAGGAACCCTAAGGAAGGTTTTGATTTTTTTCCGGTAGAGAACACCCCAATACACCTTAACAAAGGAACATGCCACCATCAATCTCCCTGTAATAAATCCCTAAACCCTAAACCCTAAACCCTAAACCCTAAACCCTAAACCCTAAACCCTAAACCCAGGAATTGAAGGCAGAGTGCGTAGCAGCCAAGACGACTTAGGCACTTAGGCACTCCCGGAACCGCAACAAAGCCGGGGGCCCCGGCTGCAGCCATGCCACAAGATGACTCGGATGGTAGTCCTGGGGTTTAGGGTTTAGGGTTTAGGGTTTAGGGTTTAGGGTTTAGGGTTTAGGGTTTAGGGTGGGGTTTAGGGCTCAGGGTTTACTATCGGAGCCTGATTTACAAAAAAAACGGGTCTTTACTGGGGTTCTTTACACGAATCCTAATATTTTGGGTTATCGGGCCAAGGTTTCTTAATGAAATTCCTACATTAGGGTTCAGGGTTCAGGATGGTAGTCCTGGTGAGGTCAACTCTCTCGTAGGGCTGGGGTTTGTGGGTTTAGGGGTTTAGCGTTTAGGGTTTCTGTGGCTTTTGATGTAGGGTTTATGGCTTTGGGGTTTGTGGGCTGTGCAGAATCGAAGGTTTTAGGGTCGTAGGATTTGGGGGTTTCCGAAAATAGGGGACCCTAATATGGTACCCTAAATAATAGGATCCTTATTATAAGGACCCCCAAATAAGGTACCCTAATGTTCGGAAACTCCCATTTAGGGTTTCAGGGACCGGGGGGGTTGCTTCAGGATGCTTCTGCAGGATGCTTCAGGGCTTTATGGGCGTAGGGCTTTATGGGCGTAGGGCTTTATGGCTGCAGAGTGTTGTGGGGTATGGGTTTATAGGGTTTAAGTCAGCTCAGTGATTGCGGCTGAAGGCTTGAGGGTTTTTAAAGATTAAAGTTCCGGGAATAGGACGTTTGCTCTGGTGTCCGGCCTAAAGCCTAAACCCTAAACCCCAAACCTAAACCTTGAACCCTAAACCCTAAACCCCGGTGTCCAGCCTCGATCTGATCCAAGAACTCGAAGATTTGCGCTAGGCGCGCCGAGGCGCCGCCTCCAAAGGAAGGTGTCGAGCATAAGAGCGATTTAGGCCATCGTGGATTTCGGGTTCTAAAAGGGTTGCACAAGGGTTTAAGGGTTTAGGATTTGGGGTATGAAGTTCAAGGGTTCAGGGTTGAGATTTAGGGTTTAGGGTTTTGGCTTCTCTGAGCCCCAAAGTTGTGTTACGAGCAACTGCCTCTTCATGACCATCCGGCAAAAACATGTAGAACAAGGAGCTTCCCAAAGCTCTAGTTGTCAGTGGTTGGGGCATTGGGTCGGTGATGTTTTTAACGCAACCTCTGAGAGCTGCGTAAGCCCTTAGGCCCTAAGCCGCCTAAGCCCTGGGCTGGTATTTGTAGGTTCCGGAAACCTTCAAAAAAGAAAACGACCCAACCCTGAGCCCTAATTACACTCTCAACGTACCTCATTAAGGCTTCAACGGGCTTCAAAAAGGCTTCTGAGGGGCGTCTGGGTTGAAACATGCTTCACTGGCCAGGAGGCCTTTGGTTGCGGCGTTGGCAACGCTCCACATTCAGCCACTGCTGGGATTCAGGACCCGAGCGCAGCCGGGTGGCCATGACGCATTCGTAACCTTGTAAAACGAAGAATGGAACTGCTTGAGCTCTGCACCTCAACCTGTCCTGTCTGCAGGAGCGCCAGTGAGCGGCCATTTATCATTTGGTGCCTTTACGACTTCTACGACAGTTTTAGCCAGTCCAGGGTTGAAGGCTTCTGTTCGTGGCTTGGTTTAGGGTGACTTTAGAGACAACTCAAACACTCAAAATCCTAAATCCTAAGCTCCAAAACATGCCAAATCTCAAATCCCAAACGGCTCAAAATCCCAGGGTTCAGAATCCCCGGACCCATCCATCTTGGAGTCTCTGGGACGCCCCAAAAACTTCCGCCGAAGCCCCGAGCCTTCTTCTTCGAGCCGCACCGGCAAATTTTCGGCCTCCCGGATGGGACTTTGAGACTTTGGGTTTCGGCACTCCGGGGCTTGGGGATGTACGCACGCATATATTTTACATATGTGTATGCATGCATGCATGTATACGCATGTATGTACGTATGCACGCATGTATGTATGCACGCATGTACGTATGCACGCATGTACGTGTGCACGCATGTACGTATGCACGCATGTACGTATGTACGTGTGCGTATATGTACGTACGTACGTATGTACGTAAGTACATATGTACGTATGTACATACATCTGTCTGTCTGTGCGCCCGTCTGTCTGTCTCTGTCTGCTTGCATGCATGCATGCATGCATGCATGCATGTATATATACGCATGCTTCTCTATGGGTACTTAGTTCATGGTAGTTCTCTGAATTATAGGGTCTCTTTTAGGGTCCCGTTTATGTAATGGTCGGCGTTTCTTGCTGGCGTGACTGTTGGCCGCGTTTTCTTTGTCGGCGGTCGTTTTGTCCAGGAGCTTTTGCGAACGTCACCGCGGCCTCTGGACCCTTGACAACTCGGGTCTTGCTCGCACGCCGCGGCTAAGCCTGCCTCCGCCTTCTCCTTCCTCGCAGCTTTCCTCTCTTCTTTCCTGTTCGTGCAGACATATACATCAAAGAGCAACTATATAGTGTGCGTGGGCTTGCCTAGCTGCTTCTCCACCTTCTTGTCCTCCTTGTGTTTTTCGCGCCGGGCCTGCGCCTGTTGTATCGTAGTGTCAAGCGGCACTCATCGCACCTCTCCTCGTGCCTTCTGTCTTGGCCACGTGCGCCTTGCCGACCTGGAACGTGAAGCAAACCCACTGAATGCCTCCGCGCCCGATTCGAGACCGGCCTGCTTTGCCATGACCCAGTCCATGTGGAGGATGCGGGACATGGCGTTTGTGTCAGGCTTAAGAGGGCGAAGCTCGGCCAGCTGCCGAGGCTCGAAGCGCTTTGCCTCTTTGGTGTGCTTTGTAACACTCTCCAGACCGTGCACGAAACTGGCCTCCATGAGGATTCAGTTTGGCCGCCATGTCCCACAAGGCATGTGGGCCCTTGCCACACATGCCTGCCACGAGGTTGCGGAACTCCTGCGGTTCCGTTTTTACTTCGAGAGGGGCTTAAGCTGTCGCCAGCTCGCGGCCTTCGGGGTGGGAGGCTTCTCTTTCCACTCCTGCAGGTGAATGGTTGCCCGCGAGGAGGGGGTAAGGAGCGGCAGCACTGCCGCACTGCCGACGCAGGCAGCCCTGCTTGTTCCCGCAGACCTTGTGGGGCCGAATACCAAAGTGCTAGTATCTTTGACCCTCTGGTAATGCAATGCTTGCCTCTTCTTAGAGCTTTAGGGCTTGCAGGGGTTACCTTAACCCCAATTAACCTGCCTTTCTAGGGTTCCTTTTTAAGGCTTGGAGGTCCTAAACCCCAAACCCTAAACCCCAAACCATAAACCCCAAACCCTAAATCCTAAGCCCTAAACCCTAACTCTAAACCCTAAACCCTAAACCCTAAACCCTAAACTCTAAACCCTGAACTCTAAACCCTAAACCCTAAACCCTAAAATGGGTGAAAGTCCAAAAAGGCGACGCCTCCTCCTTCGACTCGTCGGGCTCGGGAGGCTCTCGCGGGACCGCGCCGCCGAACCACATGGGCCTTCAGGGCTTATAGGGCTTATAGGGTTTAGGGTTTAGGGTTTAGAGATTTAGGGTTAAGGGTTTAGGGGGCTTAGAGGGTTTATAGGGCTTATACGGCTTATAGGGTTTAGGGTCTACCTATAGTCTCCATTGTAGTTCCTTTTTTTGGTTTAACCAATTTTATATTAAGGATCCTAAAAGGTAACCTCCCAAAAGGAACTACAATGGAGACTATAGGTAGGGTCTAGGTTTTAGGGTTTAGGGTTTAGGGCCCAGGCCCTGGAGCTTAAGAAGTTAGGAGGTAGTATTATTAAACCCTTCTGAACCCTACTTTTGGGCCTCTTAAAAGGGACCTTATTGAGAGGGTCTATATCCCCAAGGGTCCCCCTAATCCTAGGTTTCAGTTAGGAGGAGTTTGGGCTAGAGGGTTTTGTAGGGTTCAGGTCGAGCTTGGGACTTAGCGGTTGGGGGCTTAAAGGTGTTGTAGGGTTTAGGCCTTTTAGGGTTTAGGGTTTAGGGTTTAGGGTTTAGGCATTTTAGGGTTTAGGGTTTAGGGCTTCGAGGGTTTAGGGCTTGAGGGCTCTATACGGGCTCTAGTTTTATGGCGGGTCTTAGGATTTAGCCTCAAGGGCTTGGGGGCTGTTGAGGTTCGAGAATCGGGGTCCAGACGCTAAAGGCATTGAGCCCGGATGTTGGGATTGGAGTTTACCGGTGGGGTTTGGGATTTAGGCTTCAGTCGCTTCGGGATCGGGTTCAGGGCGAAGTGTAGGTTTTGGGATTTGGGTTTAGGACTTGGGGTTTGGGGTTTGGGGTTTAGGGTTTGGATTGAGGGTTTGGGTTCAGGGTTGGGATTTGCATTGCTGGTGGCAGGTGGGGTTTTGACAGAACCGGGACGGATTTTGGAAGGTTTTGCGTCGAAGCTCGACGATTTGGGGGATGTGTCACATGAAGGCACGAAATATTGCAATAGTGCTTTAGGGTAAGTCCTAGTAACTAGTAGCCTCACACCGAACGAATTGAATCCTAAACCGGGCCCGAAAAGCTTAAAATTAGAACCCAAAAGCTCGAACCCTAAACCTCGCGCGGCCACCAGACGCGAGAGACTTGACCTGTCCACTTTTCCGGCGCACCTTCGCCGACGCGGACGGATCCGCCATTCTAGGCGGAACTTGACATGGGTGTAGTGGCTTGGGCTCTAAACCCTAAACCCTGCTTAGGGGGTAGAGGCTTAGGGCATGGGGCTTCACCATACAACTCGAAACCTGACCCTGAAACAGCCGCGGGCTTTCGCGACCTCCGATATGCGATGGAAGATCACTATTGTCAAGAACCGGATATATTCTTTGTGGTATGAAAACAGTCTTTTCCAACTTGAAATCAAGTCTTGGGGTGCGTTGGACGATTTAGGTCCTCAAGTTTGGTCTGTTGGTCATGGCTTAGCATTCGGAGATTCCAAACCATTTAGCCCTCTACGCCTCAGGCAACTTTGGGATAGTTCCATATTCAAATCATCGAGCTACACGTACCAGCTGCTGGCACACGAAGCTGCGCGTTCGATCCGAAAAATTGCGATGGCGATGTTGTTGGAGGGGGCTAAAGGCTTTGGTTCTACAGTTTCGGGTTTAAGTTTGGGTTTAGGGGTCGGTGTTGGGATTGGCTTTTACGTTGGAATTGGGGTGGCATGTAAACTCAAAAAATAAAAAATCGCCAAAACCTAAACCCCCCAAACCTAAACCCTCAATCCCAAGCCTCGAAGGGCAAAGCAACTCTAACTGCTCGCAGCATAGGATTTGGTGGTACCTAGGGTTTAGGGCCATTGAAGGCCATGCAGCATTTGGGGTCGAAAACCTATATCAGAGTGGCAGCAAGGTCCAACAGGAAGTTCTAGAATAACCTCTCAGCTTCGACAGGCTCCTCTAAGAGGCGCAGGGCCGCAGGGGATTTGCTTATTCAGCAGAGGGTACCCTAAACCCTATAAACCCTACTCCACGCTACATTTGTACGGTAGTTGTTCGGAGTAGCGGACCTATGAGCAGCAAACCCCCCCGTCTTTAATGACCCAGTACGAACCCCATCAGGAATTGGTTTCTATGAATCCTAAAGCCCTCAACCCTAAACCCACTAGGGATTGGGTTTTATGAACCCTGAAACCTTAAGGCCTTAAACCCTAAACCCATTAGGGAAGGGGTTTTTATGAATCCCGAGTCTGCCTCAGGGGCTGATCCTCAAGCAAGGCCTTTTTGCCGCCACCAGTGTCCGCCAGCAGTACATAATCCAACCTACTCTAGGGGCCTTAATAATTAGACTAGGGTTTTGGGGGTTCCTTATTCTAATTATAGTAGAATTTATACCCCAAGCCCTATTCTAATTATTAAGGCCCTGATATAGAACCCTGTTATGGATCCCTTGTAGAACCCTTTAAGAATCCCTTTAAAGGGCCCCAAAACCCCTATTCTAATCATTAAGGCCCCGAACCCTTTAAGAATCCCGTTAAAGGGCCCCAAAACCCTATTCTAATTATTAAGGCCCCGATATTACGTGAGCAGCATCGCGCCTGTGCTCTGGCTGCCTGGGATCGAAGAACCTCCGGCCCTGTTTCTTGGGGCTTCGAGAGTAGGGTTCCTGGTTTAGGGTGTAGGGTGTAGGGTTTAGGGTTTAGGGTTTGGGGTTTAGGGTTTAGGGTGTAGGGTTTAGGGTTTAGGGTTTAGGGTTTAGGGTTTAGGGTTCCTGGATTAGGGTGTATATAGGGTGTATGCAAGGTTTGTATAAGGCTTATATAGGGCTGAAATAAGGCTTAAAAGGGTATATATATTTATATATTAGACCCTGGCTGTAACAGTAACTCTTTATGGGGTTTTGGGTAGCAAAGTGAACACTTAAATGTGGACAAAAGAACACTTATTTGGTACTAAAGTGAACACTTACATCTGGACAAGTGAACACTTAAATCTGGACAAGTGAACACTTAAATCTGGAC